TTAATTAAAGGGTTAATATAGAAATTTTGTATTTCATAAAGTATTACAATGCTTTTGAAAGGGATAATTTTAAGTGAAACCCACCTGTTGTGGACTTACAAAGTAAAATTGTGAACTGATGATGCAGAACCACTGGTAGCTAAGGATTGTGGGGCACTAAATTTACTGTTTTCGTAGATTTTTGTCCAAGCAATTAAGTTATAAAGAACAGAATAATATTGTTGCCACATTCATGTAGTTCTATAGGCAAATGGTTGATTTGTCAAATATCAATCATTTCGCCCCTTGTGAGGTAATCCGGAATCCGACTTTTTGCTGATTTAGGAATACGGAATCCAGACTCTTGGAATCCGGAATCCAGAGAGTGGAATCCGGAATCCAAATAACTGAGGAATCCAGTCTCCAGGACGTTCTGGAATCCATTGTTTTATTAATTTAGAAAAAAAAAACATTGTAAACGTTGTAAACTTTTGTTAACAATCTGCTCTTTTATTTAACGCCAGGATATATGTTCAGGCTCAATCAAGTTTCATGACCAAATAGTCCAAATACGTGAAATTTGAGAAACTGTTTGCGCCCGTCGGCCTTCCGACTACTAGCGGGTGGTCTACATTCTTATATACTAGTGTTACGCTCTAGTGCTTTGCATTTTGGCGTCTATGACCCGGACGTGAACAAAAACTGTAACTACCCGGATAAAAATTATGGCCTCCAGTTGGTAAACAAAATCAGAGACACTACTCAGACACAAGCGAAGCAAAGTAAAACTGGATTACAAACATTAGCAACGGTTTTTATGTCACCTCTGCGTCGTATTTGGTGCAATCTTATGCTCGCTATTTATAAAGCATGAAAGTATAGCCCTGGGAAAACTAGGAAACATTGTTGCGGAAACATTGTTGCGGAAACATTGTTGCGGAAACATTGTTGCGGAAACATTGATTCCTGCCAATGTTTCGACATATTTCACCCAATTCATTTTACCCGGAGAAAATTATCAAGAGCGACCCGCCCAACATGGCCTCTCGTGCAACAAAGCAAAGTGTTGGGAGTAAGGGAAGTGGGGACACAGACGATGACAAAAGGCGCAAGGAAGTAAGGCGAGAATTTGTAAGCGAATACGGCAGGGGTGTAAAAGAGATCACAGGAACCCTTCCATATTCATTGAGCATGAGACCAGACGCTGTTACCGCCTCGGAAGAAGTGGTGGACATCGTGTTAGAATGCCAGACTGTCAATGCGCCCAACGTTAATCGAGACAATTCAGTACGGGTTAGGGTTCTGCACCGCAGGGATGACGTCGTCGCCATCAGGCACAATTTAAGGGGGGAACCATCCCCGTAGTGGTTAGCTATTCTTCTGGAGGACGTTTCCGTCGAAGATGACAGTGGAAAGTTCTTGAGAAATAATATGAGCATTCGATGGCTTAACCAAACAGAGAATCCACTCTGTTATGTCAAAGGTGATACCTGTGACAAGAACTCCCCGAAGTTTATCATGGCCGACTCGCTCCCGCAGGATTTTGTTTGAACGCGAACAGTTTCTAGTCCCTCCGGAGGAAAACAAACGACTATTACGCATTGCTAATGGATATGAGAAAACTGGAGACGAGGAGCAACAGCATGTGGAAGAAGAAGAGATAGAAGAAGAGATGGAAGAAGTGTTAAACCTTGTCGCACTTCCCGCAAGATTGCCGGGTGTCAGCCTGTCTTGAAGAAGAACAACCTGTTTCCTTCTCAGCTAAGTGATACACGTTTCTACAATTATTATCTACTTTATCCCTATGCATTACAGTATTTGAGGAATAGAAACATTTCCATGTTTGTGTAACCCAGTGTTTGAATTGATCGATTGATGATAGTTTTATTGAGGTAGTATTTATTTTAAAAAGTGGACCTTGAGGTTAATCCGATATTCAGATTAGCGAATTTAATGCCTATAATTGTTAGTTTTCACTGAGCAAATCTAAACAACTTCTTAAACCGCTGTCTTAGTGGTGTTAGTATCGCGATTAATTTCATTATAGTGCTAATTATTTGATTGCTTGGAGTGCACTACGCGGTCCTTAATATTATGGTTGCGTTTGTATAGGAAACCAAAGGGGGTTCTGGCCATAGAAGCTTGAGTGTTGGGTCTTTATCAACGAGATGCCAGTGTTTAAGCAAGATAGATCCTATATGAGTGGTATTAGTGTTATAGGGCACAGAGAACGTTAATATAGGTTTATTGCTATTAGGTTCATTATTTGGGCGCTGGATATTAGCATTACCATGAAAGCGAATAATATTATTCTCATTCTCCCCAATTAGTAGATTGGACTGAGTATATTGCAGAGCTTCATTAAATTAAAGATATTATCAATTACATTGTTAGTATATTCCCTATAGTAATTAGATTAACGCGTAGGCCTGAAGGCGTTCACTTAATCTGTTACGGTTAGTAATTAGTCTTACGTATCTAAGGGCTTGACTACATATGATGTTAGTTTTGCAATTGTTGGGGTGAAAGGACCCATTATGTAAAAGTAGAGCTTTATCTGTTGGTTTAATAAAAAAGTCGGATTCCAGTTGGTTAAGGTTGTTAATGTAAATACTAGTATCAAGAAAATGAACTCTTTCATAGGAGTACTCAAATTCAAATTTAATAGTGGGATGGAAGTTGTTAATATAGTGCAGGAACTCCTTTAGTTTATCAATTCCATGCATGTGTCCATACTGCAAAGATGTCATCGATCGATGAATCTTATCCACTCAAGTGGAATCAATCCACCGGGAGCACATTAGCATGTTCTGTCCCAATTGACCCATGCCATGAAAACATGGGCATATGAGGGCGCAATTGAAGAACCTCATAGCAGTACCGTAAGTCTGAAGATAGTATTTATTGTCGAATTCAAAATAATTGTTATGAAGTATAAGTGTTAATACTCCTTTTAGAAAATCTGTGCTTGCCTCGCCATTATATCTTTGAAGGTATCTGATTGACTACGGTCAATGCCTTCATCATGCGGGGTGTTAGTGTACAGCGATCTAACATCTATTGTAAGAAGAATAATGTCAGTGGGAAGATTATGGTTAAGTTTAAATATACGTCTAAGGAAATCCGTTGAATCTTTCACCAATGAGGGGATATTGCTTACCAAGGGTTAAATTGCACCAATTCGATAATCTGACAGTGGGGCTATCACATGCACCCAGAGATGATAGGTCTACCCAGGTTGCCACCTTTATGAATTTTGTGTAGTAAGTATAGGGTGGAAGTTTTAGTTGGTGTAGGGGGCATTAGAAATCTAAATGTTGTGTAATCAAATTGACCTAATTTATGATTATTTTGAACAAATTGTTGTATTCTAGTTATTAGTTCAGGGATGAGATTCATTGAAATATGGTTGTAATGAGAGTGTTGGCAAGTTGTTTAAAGACCTCGCGTAAAATAATAGTCATCTCTTGGCCAGATGACAATGCCCCCACCTTTATCTGCTGGTTTTAACAGTCAAGTTATCGTTTTTCTGCAAATCTTTTAGTGCAGATATTTCTTCTCACAGCTTGGTAACCGTGCCTGTTATGATGCAAAATAGGAAGCATGTACGCAGCAGGAAATAGATTGCGGTCGAATATACCATAAATATCGAAATATTGAATTTTGTTTTGAATATATGCTAGTATAAAGGTCATAAATTCGTGCGTATTCGAAATATAGACATTATTTGCAATTCATTTAACTGACAGAAACGTTCACATTCAAATTGTATTCAATTAGACAAAATTAACTATAAATTTATTTTGAAAGATTCCCTGTTTGTATTATATTGTGCACTACTAATACTGTGGGCGTATATGTCGCATATAGTCTCGTTTGAAAATGTGATATTTATACTAGCCGACAAACTGCAAACCACACACCGTCTATAAATGCTTGTAGGCGCACTGATGTCTTTTATCATTGATTATCATGATTATCAAAATTCAAAGATCAAAATTTGCCTAAGCACAATGCAAAATGTAAACAAGACACGTTTATAGATTTTGCTTTATAAACTGTATAAACTGAGGGCGATGCAGAAATTTAGTTGTAGCAACTTCTAATATATATATTTTACATTCGTACTTCAGCATTCAGTTTACTTCAGGCTATTACTGCCACACACGTTATTTCCGGAAAATTTAAATATTTCCCGCTAAAGCTAAGGTTAATGATAATTAATGGTATAACAGACTTTATGTGAGTACATACCTGAATAACACCAAGTTTACATCTAGTGTCCCAACAAATCCAAATATGTACCCTGAATAAAATTCACAGTTACCGAGGCTCCCACGGAAAGTGATCCCAAAAAAACATTTCTGCACCAGGGTGGACGAGGATGTACCTGAACAGCAACATTGAACAAAATCATTTCGTTACGACTCCGAGACCAATGAATATGTTGTCATTCAAGGATTAAAAACAATAAAGACAAGTGTTATTGTCAGACAAAAGAAAATACTCATGTCCACAGGCTGCAACACAATGTTGACACATTATCCTGAGGTTGACCAAATGTCGAAATCGACGAAAAACGAGCCAAAAAACAGTTATCGAGCTAATCAATCAAATAAGTACTTGGCATAAATTTGAAGGTCCATAGTCCAAATATTTGATGAGTTTCTTCAGCTCAATTATACCAACAAAATCTTAAAAATTCCCCGTTATTATATAGCCATGTTGATCGCCATGCTGTTCAGCAAGCTCTCCCAGCTACGGAGGATATTAATAAGTTAAGGTGAAAATATGAAGATAAAAGCATTTTTTTAAAAATTAAACCTCTCAAACCTCGATATGAAAGGCTTTTAAAAACGCTAATTCGTTCGGTACCTACAAATTCGAGGGGTGGTATTTAAGTTTGCGCAGGGCAAAGATTGAAGATCCATATCTTCGCAATCACGCAATTAATCAAAATTCCCACGAGGAAGTTGAGGAGAATTCTTTTGAGACAACATATATCAATTTCATGGCAAAAAAAACACGCTTGTAGCAAAGCTCTGAAGCGACCGCATATGCTTGTTTACAAATTTCATATGATGACCACGCATTCTGATCTTCAGCAAACTTTATTATTGTTTATCTGTGTGGGCAAATACGTCTAAGAAAAATATTCTTTATATAAAGAATACTAATTAATAAGGCAGTGTATATATTGAATTTGTAGTCGTGTTTGAAGCCATTTAATAAACTCGCAGATCGTGTTTTATTAGGTTTAAAGCCACTCGCGCTGCGCGCTCGACATAATAAAACACTCCTGCTCGTACATAATCCTTGACATAACACTTAATCTAACAGTGAGCGTGCGCAATGCGTAAGCGGCATGGCTCATCCTGTAGCGCACTCAATATGACCTAAAGGCCATAGAGCGATATCTAACTACAGACGGTGCCGTTTCGGCCTTATGGGCCTCATCAGTGTAGTGCTGATGAGCAGGATGAAAGTAACTGCTATTTACAGTTACCTTTGATGCCTCACGATTGTGGGACATCAAAACCATGCCAGAGCGCTCAAACTTCAAGCAGTGAGCGTGCGCAATGCGTAAGCGGCATGGCTCATCCTGTAGAGCGCCAAAATGTTCGCGTTAATAGGGTGAAAGTTTGATATGTGACTCTTTTCACATAAGTGTCATTGAAATGGTAAGAATTGAACCAATAATCCAATAAAAAGTCCTTGCTCTGACCAAAGTCGGTGGTGCAATCAGCACACCACCATAGCCCCAGTAGGGTGCAGTGCAACTTAATGGGTGCCAAATATGTGTCTAGCTTGTTGAGAAGTTAAGCTGTGGATGAGTGCATGGTTTTATAAATAAAAGCCCACAAGAGTATTAAATTTGCATTAATATTGCTATATCTCTAGATTCCTCTGAATGTAAACACTAGTAGTTTAAGTTATGAGCAAAATAAATTAAAATTCTCAAGACTTTAGTTTAAATGTTACTGGGGTTGTTGTTGTTTGCATAGCATGTTGATGAGGTATATCTCATTTTGTCAAGTTGTGTAAACATATACCCTTTCTAACTTGGCTGAACCAAAGACCATATGTAGGATTTATGAGGATTTAGAGCAAGCACAGAAACAACTGAGATAGGTCTTGTTGTGTTTACATTACAAACCTACACTTTTCCAAGCACTTTACTGGGACCTACCTTGAGTGACCTGATAATGATTTCAGGTATAGAATTTGGGGTGGTTCACCCCGTAGTATACACATGTTTGGATTGTTTAATCCCGAGACCAATTTCCATAACAACAGGGTAAGTCATGCGAGTAAGTGTGTATATTGTACATGTATTTTTGTGTGTGTAGATGTAATGTGTGCATTGTATATGTATGTTTACACACCACTTTCTTGGGCTGATTTTAGATTTAGCTGAATGTTGACACATATTTTCAGTGAGACCATCAGATGATGTTTGCCACATATTTTTCAAATATCATTGATTATTAACATGCATCTGAAATCAGCCCAACAAATTGTAATATACAACCATACCTTTAAATCGCGTCCAGTTTGTTAGACACTGTCCTGTAACTAGGTGTCAAATGCATTATATGTGGCCATGCACAGGTAAGTCCAGACTATACCCCATTCCTTAGTGTAAACATTGTAGATTTCATTATTTATTGAGCGTTCTCTGACTTAATATTTATTTCTACGAGCTTTCGGCTATCAGTCTATAACCTTCGACGG